ATCTATCTATCTATCTATCTATCTATCTATCTATCTATCTATCTATCTATCTATCTATCTATCTATCTATCTATCTATCTATCTATCTATCTATCTATCTATCTATCTATCTATCTATTTATTTATTTTTCATTCTGTGCTGTCTTTTTCCTAAATATGATTTTTTAAAAACGGAGTAAAATCACAATAAAAACAATTAAACGTGAAATCACATTAATACAACTGGCCTAAACTGTTAAAAAACCTTCATATACATACAAAATGATTGTACTGTAGTGTCTAGCATACAAGATCAAAAGTGGCACTCCTACTTGTTAAAAGCCTGCCTTATAAATACTGTATTGTGTTCACTTCTCACTGGAAGGACGAAAGGGAGGGGACAAGCCTGGCAGCATCCACAGAGAAGGCCGTCTCTCCCTTTCCCACCAGGCTTGCCTGTGAAGGTGGTGGGACTGAGAGAAGGGCCTTCCCTAAAGATCTTAAGAGCCAAGAAGTCTCTTTCAGAGAAGGCCAGCCCTTCAGTCAGCCTAGACCTAAACTGTATGGGGCCTTTAATGAATAACATGAACTTTGGAATCACATGAAGCAAAATATCGGTTATTGGACATGTGGTGTTTCACTCTCCCCTTCCAGAGCACGTCTGTCCCCGGAATAGCCACTACGAACTGTGTGCCCAGAGTTGTCAACAGACCTGCCAGAGCCTCTATTCCCCCCTGCCTTGCTCCACACACTGCACTGAAGGCTGCGTCTGTGATGAGGGCTTTGTACTCAGCGGCGATCGTTGTGTCTCCGTGGCTCAGTGTGGCTGTGTCCACCAGGAACAGTACTATTCCGCCGGGCAAACCTTCTACCCAACTAACAAGTGCAACGTGGAATGTATATGTCATGCTGGCGGATCCGTCGTATGCAAGGAGTCATCCTGTGGCCTCAACGAGGTGTGCAGGGTGGTGGGTGGCATCTGGAAGTGCCACCCGGTTGGTTCGGCCACTTGCTCTGCCTCTGGGGATCCTCATTACATCTCCTTCGATGGAGTCCACTTTAACTTCCAAGGCAACTGCACCTACATCCTTGCGAAGACAGACAGCACGGATAAGAACCTGACCCCCTTTACCATCATGGAGGAAAATGAAGCCTGGGGGAGTGGAAAAGTCTCAGTCACCAAGGTGGTGTCAGTAGAAGTCTATGGGCTCACACTGACCCTGCTACAGAACAAAAGAGGAGTGATCAAGGTGGGTGTTTCAATGCTATTTAGGACAGGCTGCTTATCTGAGACATCAGGCTAAATCAAACTATTAGTCCCAACTAGAATGAATGGCCTTATTAAGTCATTGTTTGATTCATTGGATCTATTTTACTTTACACTAATACTTGGCTTTATCCCTTCTCCTCTCACTCATCCTTCAACAATTTATAGCTATGAGCATGGTTCTTCCCACGATATTCTAATTTTCAACAACCCTGTAAGGCAGGCAGATAAAAAATGTCTAGTCCTAACAAACTTCAAGACTGAGTGAGAATTTGGACCTGAGTCTTTCTGATCCATGATCAATGCCCTAACCACCACACACATGAGTCTCACTACGCTATATTACTGTTGAGAGCTAGTTCTCCATCCCCAGAGTACAAAGGCAAAGTACAATGTGGTATGTTGTGATGAAAATGGAGCTGGGCAATATTTTAACGGGTTGCAGTTCTCTTAAAGAAAGCCACTAACGAGGGACCTTTTCATTGACTGATCTGTCCATTTATATTTGCATGTGGTGCTCTGTTGGAGAAGCCACACAACAAAGCATCATCAAGGATTACTCTTCACCAAAATGAGAACCTGCTATATATGGAGGACCCAGTATGGGTGTCCTCTAGTGTAGCAGATTCTCCTTTACTTCTGAGACAAATGTTGAGTGTTCGGGGAGTTCCTGGAGTTGGGCTTCAGCGACATGCTTGTATACAATGGATTGGTAGATGCTGCATGGCCTTGTGAATGTCGTTGTATGTCTTGTGTTCAAGAAGAATCCCCTTTCCAAACATTTTTGCAGATATGTTGACTCATGAGCTGGGGGTTCTCTCAAACCATTCTCAGTATGATCCTGAAAACCTAAGATAAACATAAACTTGGGTTGATTCCCACATGTATGAAATGGGACTGTGGTGGAAACAGGGATCAATGGTCCTGGAAGTTAGTTTTTTTTTAAAAATCACTGAGCTTTTGTCTCATGAAAATCCATGTCCTGCTCACCTTCTCCTTTTTTCTACCAGGTCAATGGAATATTCCAGTCTCTTCCCATAGTTCTTTCTGATGGACATCTTAGAGCCTATCAGCATGGCACTAAAGTCCTGATAGAAACTGGCTTTGGACTCATTGTCAGCTATGATCTGGTCTATCGCGTGAGGGTCACCATCCCGGGCTCTTACCAGGGCCAGACGCAAGGCCTGTGTGGCAACTACAATGGGAGGAAGGATGATGAGTTCCTGCTCCCTGATGGAAAGATTGCCTCTGATGTGGCTGCATTTGGTGCCGCCTGGAAAGTGCCCGTCCCCGGGGCTGATGGCTCCTGCTCAGACGGATGCTCTAGGAGCAACTGCCCGGTTTGTGAAGAAAGGAAGGAGGAGGTTTTCAAACAGCGCAACTATTGTGGGATCCTCACAGCCTCCGACGGCCCCTTCAGACATTGCCACAGCAAGGTGGACCCCAGTGTGTACTTCAACGACTGCATCTATGACCTGTGCCTGGGCAACGGGGACAGCCAGGCCTTATGCCAGAGCATTGAGAACTATGTTTCTGCTTGCCAAGAGGCTCAAGTCCCTGTGCAACCCTGGAGGACTCCATCCTTCTGCCGTGAGTATCATGATTTTGAATTCCTAATCAATATGCTTCAATGATTATATCTTGTATTGCTGGGTTCCTTATCAAGATAATCAAGGGGTGGGAGTCAGCCTTTACTTTGGAGAGGAGAAGGCATCTTGCAAAAGCTAGAAAAGTAAAAGGAATAGGAAGGAAGATGGAGGGAGAGAAGAAGGGAGAATGAAAAGAAAAAATAGGGAAGAAAGAGGGTTGTTTTTTTAAAAAAACTTCTGTGGCTATTTCAATAGCACCTTGCAAATAAATAGAACATATACATATAAAGTAATGTGCCATCAAGTCAATTCTGACTTATGGCAACACTTTCCAGGGTTTTACAGGTAGAGAATGCTCAGAAGTGGTTTACCCTTCCCTTCTTCTGGAAGGGTGTCCTGGGACTGTACAGTTTGCCCAAGGCCACCCTGTCTGGCTTTACTCGCAGGAGGGACAGTGGGGGAATCAAATTCCCAACTTCTGGCTCCACAGCCAGATGCTGAAACCACTGAGCTATTAGGCCAGACCACAGGATATATATCCTAAGGAAATATCTATTTCACCGCTCTTGAGCTTGATAGAGAACTGTACAGCAGTGGTCCCCAACCTTGGCCCTCCAGATGTTCTTGGACTTCAACTCCCAGAAATCCTGGCCAGCAGAGGCGGTGGTGAAGGCTTCTGGGAGTTGTAGTCCAAGAACATCTGGAGGCCCAAGGTTGGGGACCACTGCTGTACATGACTGATAGATGTCTGTACATATACTAGATCTGCGGTTATTTCAGAGAAGAGAAAAGCACATGCTGTGAGGTATGCATTTTAAAAACGCAGACAAAAATGCTTTAGTGAAAAGGGGAAAGGTAGAAAGAAATTCTAACATTTGGAAAAAAAATTGGTGTGGGTTCATATTGTAGGGAGAATGAGTGCCAATATGAACTGCTGGATAGCTCGGTGGTTTAGGTCTCTGGCTGCAAAGCCAAAGGTTGGGAGTTTGATTCCCCACTGGGCCTCCTTGATAGGCCCAGTGATGATCCAGACTCAGAGGGTCCCTTTCAGCTCTGCAGATCTAAGATAACGCTGATGATACAGAAATTGATTCATCCTGAAAGAAAAAGATGTCTTGCAACCAAATATAGAACTAGGATAGGATGAGCATGTTGGTGTGACTCCGAGAAATGTAATGAAAGTGACTTTCACATCCCTCAGTGTCTATTTTATATGCCCCGTGGAAGAGGCAGGCCCAATATTTACAATCAGCAAAGTTCTTTCCTGCCAGTTCTACATTTTTTTATCTATGTGCCTTTCTCTCTCCTATAGCTCTGAGCTGCCCTCCAAACAGCCACTATGACGTCTGTGCTGATCTCTGTTCTGCTCATTGTGCCGGAATCACGGACTCCAGAGACTGCCCCGACACTTGCGCAGAAGGCTGCCAGTGCGATGACGGATTCTTCTTTGACGGACTTGGCTGTGTCACAGTCGAGAGTTGTGGATGCTCTGGGAATGGAAGCTATTATAAGGTGCTGCCCCCTAAAGGAGATAGTGCTACAATGCTATGATAGACGCTACACTAGTTGGAAGATATGCGGAGAGGCTTTCATACTGGATGAAGTCATTGATCCAATGGGCCCTGCTTTTGTTGCAGGGTTTGAATTTCTAATTAAAACTCCTTCCTTCTACAGAGGAGAAGTAGAGAGACTCACAGAGGAGAATCGCTACAAGTTCTTCAGATAGTCCACCCCTTTCTCATCAACTTGCCCTTAAGGTCTTAAGAACTTGCACTGAAACATTTGTAGGAGTTAGAATAAAAATGTTTTGTTACAATTATGAACAGATCAACAGCAAACAAACAACACTGACTTCCTAGAGACTGAAGAGAGGGAAAAGAACACTCAATAGAAAGGCAGGGTTCTCTTTTAAATTCAGAGGTGGGAAGGAATGCTTGTTAGTGCCGGATAGTCACCCCACCCAGGAAGGTCTCTCCCAGCCACATCTACTAGAGGCAGCATACAAGATTGTTAAAACTCCCAACAGTTTTGTCTACTGTAATGTAGCAATTATCCAAGGTTTTCTTGGACCTTACAATGCAGCACGTATCCCTTCCCTAGCTCTTCTCTTATATTAACATTTTCTAGAACTCAGTAGACATAAGCATTCCTCCAGCCTTTCTGGTTGTGGAGTTGGCTAGAGGCTCTTTTATGATGCTTTCATTTTATTCCAAAAGGGGCACATGATATAAAAAAATATGGGTGCCAAAATTTTTGAGAGACAGAGGAGCTAAAGCTTAGAGCAAGTTGTTGAAAGGTCAATATGCTGTTGATATGGCTTGTCAACTCAGTTCTGACTCATGACAACCATAAGAGGGGTTGTTTGGTGTGTTAAGATTATTCAAGGAGTGATTTATTATTGACTGTTTGTAATGGGCTTCCATAGCCAAACAGAGATTAGAACCGAGGTCTCTTGAGTCCTAGTCCAACACTTTATTCTGTACTTCAAACAGGCTCTCGAGGATCAACATGATAGGCTTCTACTTGTAGGTCTGTGAACCTGAATAATGTGTTTGCTGTTTAAGATGGTGGTATTAAGTCATTCAGTCAGTGGTGTCACAGAGCTAGGACATGCAGGGCTGAAGTGCTTCCAACTCTGAGCAGCTGGACTCTCTGACTGAGTGAAAACTTAAAATTGATCTGCTAATATGGATCAATACAGCTGCTTCATTTTGGGACTGTCCTCCTAGGACTGACCATGGGGGAGTTGTTAAAATGAGCACTGCCTTTCAAAACTCACCATTGCATTTAATGGTTTGTTTTCCCTTGGAAAATGTCCCCATAGCCCAAAGAGGAGATCCTATTGAACGAATGCCAGCAACTCTGTCACTGCATCTCAGGCCAAGGGGTCGTCTGCAAGCCCCATAGCTGCTCCAGTGATGAGATCTGCAAGGTCCAGGATGGGATCATGAGCTGCGTTAACAAAGGTGAGTACAGGAAGTTATTTCCAGGGGGAGTGTTTTGATGATCTATCTGATCCACTTTCAGTTTGCTACTGATCTTAGCTACTCCAAAGCACCCATAGCTATGACAAAGGCTAAGGTCAGTCAAGAGAGGGATTTTTATTTGTTGATTTTTTGGGTGATAAAATGCTTCCCAGCATCTGGAGACACCAACATTTCAGGAAATCTTCCTTTGACTCTTCTCTACAAGCTACCCAAAATTGGTGAAGATTGGATTTCAGATGTGTGAGTTATACACCCAGAAATACTTCCCCCCATAGGAACCCATAGCTATGACAAAGGCTAAGGTCAGTAAAGAGAGGGATTTTTATTTGTTGATTTGTTGGGTGATAAAATGCTCCCCAACATTTCAGGAAATCTTCCTCTGACTCTTCTCTACAAGCTGCCCAAAACAGGTGAAGATTGGGCTTCAGATTTGTGAGTTATACACCCAGAAATACCTCCCCCCACAGGAAATTTGCCCCTAGGTACCTAGAGACACCAAAATCTGCAGAGAAGTTCTACTGACCCTCCTCTACAATCCTTATGAATTTGGTGAAGATTCGGTTTCCCCAGTAGCTAAAGGGCACTTTCCTGGTCGTTCCACTTTGTGGGTGTATAACTTGGATGTCTGAAACCCAATCTTCACCAAACCTGGAGGGATTATATAGGAGAGCCAGAGGACATTTCCCTGCAAATTTGGTGTCTCTAAGTGCCTGGGAGAAAATTTCCTGGGTGGTCCTCTTTGTGGGTGTTTAACTCAGACAGAAACCCAATCTTCACCAGACTTTCAAGGCTTGTAGAGAAAAATCAAGGGAAGATTCCATGAGAATTTGGTGTCTCTAGGTGCTTGAGAGGGCATTTTATAGGTGTTTAAATTTAAAAAAACCAATTGACCAATTCATCATCAGAAAAAAATGAGAAAAATATCATAAATTTGTAATTCTGGATTTGTCAACCTTGATGAATCACGAATCTAAACAAATCTCAATTTTTCTGATCCGTGCCCATCTGTAAAAGCTTCTGGGAGTTTCAGTCCAAGAACATCTGGGGATGTAAGGTTGGGAACCACTGCTCTAGCTGGTACCATTTGCATTTGCCCCCCTCCGACAGGGACACCATAGAGTTATATGAATTCAGGAACTCTGTTTATGGTGTATCAGCTTGTTTTTATGAGCACCAAGGTCTAGGATTTGTCATCTATGAAAGGTTTTCTATACAGGACTGTTGCTGCACGCAACTAGAGCTTGGAACATTTCCTCTTTTTTTGGATTGCAAGCCTGAAAATCTAGTTGCCAAGCTGGCTGGGAAATTCCAGGAATTGTGATTTTAAAAAAAGGAATGAAAGTAAGTTTCCAAACACTCTGCCCAATCCACAATTTCGTTTTCCAGATCCTTGCAAAACACTGAAGTGCCGGACGAAAGAAACCTGTAAAATGGAGAATGGCAGACCACGATGTGTTCCAGATTACAACGAGACCTGCTATGGTTGGGGAGACCCGCACTATCACACATTTGATGGGCTGGACTTCAGCTTCCAGGGCACTTGCACTTACACCATTGCCAAATATTGTGGTGATGATGCCACACTGGTGCCGTTCACTGTGGATGAGAAGAATGATAACCGGGGCAGCCAAGCTATTTCTTATGTGAGACTGACAAACATTAACGTGTATGGGTATAACATCTCCATCCATAGGAAGGAAGTTGGCAAAATTCGGGTAAGTCCCCTGCAATGGCATCTGTATAGTAATTTTGCTCATTTTCACATATTTTTTTCATTTCAAAGCACACCAACTGCATTCTCACCTTGATTTCATAATGTGCAGACTGGAAAACATAGTATGATAGAATCATGGAACAACTGGGTTGGGAAGGGCCTATGAAGCTACAAATTCCAACCCCCTGCTCAAAGCAGGAATCCAAGTCAAAGCAGATCTGCCAAATGATTGTCCAATTTTCTCTTGAATGCCTCCAGGTTTGGAGTACTTAGCACCTCCCAAGGTCATTGGCTCCATTGTCCTACTGCTCTAACAGTCACAAAGTTTTCCTAATATTCAGCTGAAATCTGCCTTCCTGTAACTTGAGTTCATTATTACATGTCCTGCACTCTGGGATGATTGAGAACAGAGCTTGCCCCTCCTCTATACCATTTGCATTTGACTATTTTTCAAGAATTTGAAAAGTGCTATCCTATCTCCCTTCAGTCTTCTTTTCTCAAAGCTAAACATGCCAAGTTATTTCTGTCTTTCCTCATAGGGTTTGGTTTCCAGTCCCCTGATCATCCTTGTTGCCCTCCTCAGAACTTGTTCCACTTAGTTGGCAGATTTCTTAAGCTGCGGTATCCAGAACTTGCAGTTCCTAGCAGATTTTTTAAAACAGAAATCATGAGAGAACAGACATCAATGAACATTAATACTAGCATTAACTGATCTGCCCATGCTTATTCCTTGGGGGAAGGGGGTTCTGATGTCCATAAACAGCCCAAGGAGAAGCCAGCTGACCGAGGCCAACACTATACTTTCCAGAAAAAAATGACTGAATTCACGGTGACTTCTGTCATAGTACACAGTACAAAGGCATGTTGTTGTTACAGGTTCGATTGTTGTCATGCCTTCGATTTTTCCCCCCTTTGTGCCTTCCTGCGCACATGCCTGTATTTCAAATTCCACATCCACATTCTTGGAAAAGGAGGGGGCAGGAGCAAGGCATAGCATTCCTGTCATGCAACATCATGGCCAGCCCTCAACATGATTGCAGCGATGGTGTCCATGCCCACCCACAGTGCAGTATACTAGATTAAAAAACAGGGGTGGGGAAGAAGCATAGAAAAAAGAGCTGCAACTTCTCCACTTGTTTATAAGTTTTTATAAACCTGTTTGCAATTAACCTGTGGCAAATACACTTTCCTTGATTTACTGCAGTGGTGTAGTTCCAAGCTGAGAGTTTCAGGGGGGAAAAAAGAAAATTGAACAGCAGGGGACTCTGTAGCAAAAGCTGATGATCTGGATGGATGGATGTACCAATCCTTTAGTGTCAAGGCACAACTCTGGACAGTTTACAACAATTAAAAACTCCACGCCCACCCACCTTGACCAAAAGTAAACAACTAATTCCAACAAAGAAACCTCCAAAGGCAACAGCTTTGTGAAAAATAGAATTTAGACATAATGACGAAACAAAACAGGGGGAGGATGTTCTTGAAGGTCTCTTTGAAAAATACTCTGTTTCAATCAGCTTTTTAAAAGTCAGGAGGAAGGGCACCTGGCATACATCAACAGGCAATGCACTCCAATAGTATTGTATCCACCACAATAAAGGCCTGGTTTGTAGTGGTCATTTTCCAGACCTCCTCTTGGGTAGCTACCTACAATAGCAAAGGCTGGGAAGACTGGGTGGCGTGGGGTAGAAGATCTTAAGGGCAGATGCTCCAACAGGTCACGAGGTTCCAAAACATTAAGGGTCTTTATGATTAAATTTATGATCCTGTCCCTGGTCCGCAGGTGAATGGTGTCATCACCAGCCTGCCTGTGACGCTGGAGGATGGGAAGATACAGCTCTTCCAAAGTGGCTTGACAGCTGTGCTGGAAACAGACTTCGGTCTGGTGGTGTCTTATGACTGGACTATGATGGTGGAGATCACTCTGCCCAGCAGTTATTACGGCGCCATCTGTGGCCTGTGTGGGAATTTCAACCAAAACCCAGATGATGACATGGTGACCCTCTCTGGGAACAAAACTTCTTCCGTGGTGGAGTGGGCCGGGAGCTGGAAAGTGCCAGACCGTGACCCTTTCTGCTGGCATTTCTGTGAGGGGAACTGCCCCACGTGTGAGGGGAGCAAACGCCAGCTCTTTGAAAGCGAGGAGTTCTGTGGGCTGATCAGTAAAGTGGAGGAAGGTTCCTTCCGGGAATGTCACCCGAAGCTGAATCCAGACCGCTTCTTTGATAACTGCATCTACGATGTCTGCCTGAACGGTGGGGCCAAGAATATCCTGTGTCAAGCCCTGGATGCTTACGCCACCAGCTGCCGCAAGGAAGGTGTAGTGATCCGTGAGTGGAGAGAACAGAGTGGCTGTGGTGAGTACGGGTTCACTAACCAGAAGAGAAGCAACGTTCTTAGTGTTGTGCTCTAGCCCAGCGGTCCCCAACCTTTTTATCCCCGCGGACCGGCTGGGGAAGGCAGGGTACCCCCCCATGCTCTTATGTGCATGCGCAAAGGAGCGTGCACGCTCTTGTGTGGGCAGGTGAGCATGTGCAAAGGAGCAGGGGCGCTCATGCGGGCACGCACACACTCATGCACATGCGCAAAGGGTGGTGTGGTGCTCAGGGGGCACTCATGTGCATGCGTGAAGGGGTGGGGGAGCGCTCACGTGGGCACAGGTGCGCATGCGTGAAGGGGTGGGGAGCGCTCACGTGGTCACAGGTGTGTGCATGCAGGCGCAAACAGGCTGTGCAGGGGGGATGTGTGGCGGGAGGTCTGTCTCCGTGGGCTGGTCCAGCTCAGGCCACGGGCCGGCACGGGGCCATGGCCCGGGGGTTGGGGACCTCTGCTCTAACCCACCCAAGAGGCCAAGGCAGGGCTCTAAACAGAGTGGGGCATCTGGAGTTTGCCCCAGGGGACCAAAACATAGTGGGCACCAAATTTAGAGATAAATCTGCTGGTGAGTGCTACGAATGTAAATGGCAATTCCTCCTGGTCCTGTTGACTTTCTTTTTCTTCATGGAAAGCAGAAGCTTTCTGTTTCTTTTGCAAGGCCTCACATTCTGATGCCTCCTTTTCCTTTTGGAGATTCATGGCCTCGGTAGGAGAAGATTCAATAGATTGAACTGGCACCAGGACAGGAAGAGGAGGCTCGGGCAAAGCTAGGTCTGGCTTTAGGCCCATATGAGCTACATTTAGGTGTCTGAACTGGCACCAGGACAGGAAGAGGAGGCTTGGGCAAAGCTACGTAGGTCTGGCTTTAGACCTTTCTCCCAGATGAGCTACATTTAGGTGTCGGTCTGTTAGGTAGGTAGAACTCCCAGAGCAGAGAATTATGGGAATTTTAGTGAAAGAAGTACAAAAATCCCATCGTCAGTAGTCAAAAAAGAGTCACAAAGAAATAAAAGAGAGGTATTCAGCACATTTGAAGGAATTCTGAGATGTGCAGAGGGTTGATGTTTAAAAATAAAAACCTTGCTGAGGACTTTTGGTAAGATGGTTTTCTGTTGGGAATTTGGTTATTCCTATAGTTTGCAAAAACTATAGAAACTATAGAAACACAAAAACCAATAACCCTTTGACAATAAAAAGTATCTCTAGATGCACCTTTAAATAGTAAATGTTCACTTGCAGTTACCATCTCTATAGTTATAATCAGAAGGAAAAAAATAGTAAAATTGAGTCTCCAGCATGCAGTGAATTCCTTACATGGCTGTTACTCTAATGGAGGTTGGAGGAAAAGGGAGAAAGCAATCAAAACACAAACTAATTCCAGAAAGAAGAGGATATTCCAAGGTGACAGATGATTCAGTCCATACCTTGGAAACTTTATGTTGGTGGACTACAGCCCACCAGTTCTTGAAGCCAACCAGTAACCATGCTGGCTGAGTTTCTGGGATGTCTTGTCCAAAAACTAAAGTTTGCTAGGATGCTCTTTGATTGCTTCAGTCTTTAGCGGAGAGATGTTACTATTACACACATGTTGGTCCTTGATCTCTTCTTTGGTTTTAAAGTCTTCCCTCCTGTCTGTCCTCCCAGCTCTCTCTTGCCCAGAGAACAGTCACTACGAGGCCTGTGGCAATGCCTGCCCGGCCAGCTGCTCCGACCGGTCTGCTCCCGCCACTTGCTCTAAGCCCTGTGTCGAAACCTGCCAATGCAATGAAGGCTATGTGCTGAGCACCGACAAATGCGTCCCCGTGGAGAGCTGTGGCTGCACCCACAATGGCCTTTACTACAAGCCAGAGGAGGAATTTTGGGCTGACGAGAAATGCGGCGTTCGTTGCCGCTGTGATCCCAGCCTGGGCATGGTGGTGTGCCAACCAGCCAGCTGCAAGGCTAGCGAAAGGTGTGTCACCGTTGACGGGATACGGGGCTGTCACCCCACCAGCTACGCCACCTGTGCCACGACTGGCGGCTATCACTTTGCCACCTTTGATGGGAAGAGATATGATTTCACTGGCACTTGCGTCTACCAGTTGGTTGGCCTCTGCTCGGAGGATCCTTCTCTCACGCCATTCACCATCAAGATCCAGAACAGCCAGGGCGGTGCAGTCATGCCGTTGTCTTCCGTAATTACCATGGAAGTCTACAATAGGACCATTGTCATCAGCCAAGAGCATCCACGATCAATCCAGGTATATGGGGCAGGGAAGCTGATTACAAATGTGAAAGGTGAAATGGGAAGGCCCTGAGTCAACCCAACCATTGGTTGCAAACTCATTCTATAGCTTTATAGCAACAAATAACGACATGCCATAAAGTCGATTCTGACTTTTCAAGGGTTTTCTAGGTATGCACTGCTCAGAAGTATTTTTACCATTCTCTTCTTCTGGGAATGAGTTGGCTGGAGAGCTCAGTGAGTTAGGAGCACTTGGGAGTTCAGTTTCCCATTGCACATCCCGAAAGGGCCAGCCTGTGTGGCCTTGGGCAAACTGCACAATCCCAGGACTCCCCCAGAAGAAGGGAAAAATAAACCACTTCTTTACTTGGAAAACCCTGAAAAGGTTCACCCTCAGTCAAACCTGACAACTATTA